AAGAAGTCCTTCTGTGTGTAAATAAGTCATGAAATAGTGTGGCAACCAGAGAGAAAATGTGTTCAGAAGGAGTTTTGGTTTTACTTTTAGGGAGTGTTATTAAAGACCAGTGTAATGATGATATGCATAATCCTATAGATCAGAATAGACTGATTATGGAGGAGAAGGACTCACTATTTAGAGAAGGAAAGACCTTGAGAAGGTAAGAAGGAGTAAGATCCAGGGCACAAGTGGTGGGCTGGCCTTAGATTATGAGCTGGAACAACTATTCTAATAGAAGAGATGGCAGAAGAAATGAAAACAGATGCAGGTGGTTTAGTAGAATTGGTAATGCCAAGCTAATGAATGAATCCAATAGTGTTGCATACATTTGCTCCTTGAAATACATTGTAAAAGAGAAATTGGCTGCAAAATGAAGAATGGGCAATGAATTGTGGGGTTTTGAGGAGAGAAGGGAAGATATTAAAAACTGGTCTGAATGAATGAGAACTTTCACAGGGCATAGATGTGTATACCTGCAGAATGGGTGGTGAAAGGCCCTGCAAAGTTTTGGTGATGTATTTGAGGTGAGTACTATGAACAATATGGTGAAATTTTATCCGTTAAGCTGCTCGGGTTGAGATGTGGAGTAAGATGAGAGAAGTCTAATCAGGGCAGGGGTTTTGCCAAGGAAGTAAAATGAAGAAAAATAAGGGAGATGTTAGGAGTGTTTGCAAGAGGACTGGTTAGAGTGCATGACCAAGGACTCTAGACAGGTTAAAGAAATTTCCAAAATGTTGTGAATGTGAAGTCATAGCTATTGAAAACAGTGATAGAGTCCATTGATTTAGAGCTTGAACAACTGGTGAAATAATAACACTACAGTAGAGGTACAAATAGAATGTTAGGGTTAAAAAGTGTGAAATGAAGATCTTATGGGATAGAAAAAATAGCACTAACAAGATCTAGGATGCAATCATGTGAAGGAATGGCTAAATGGGGAAGAGAAAAATAAATTGACACTAAAGAAACTGAGAAACTGACAGGTTAGGGTTTTGTCAAAAGTATGACTGGTTTGGCTGAATGTTTCTTGCACCTTGGCTCTTTGCAATCTAGTTTACATAGTTGTTACAGTAAGAAGACACTGACACATTAGGGTTAGAAAGCAAGAGGTAATTTCTTAATTATTCTAACTCTAGTCACTGATCACTCAACATTCATTTCTGGGTCAGAAATACGTGGGCTAAATTGATCTGCAAAGACTTTGAACTCCTTCATTCAACCTGGATAAATGGGAAGGATGACCACAAGTGGTCCAAGATTCCCCTCAGAACTTCCAAGTTTCCAATCAATGGAAGTTATTATGTGACTTTTAGTTAAGCCTATACGTAGTGTTCCTAAGAGAAATCTTAGCTAAGTGAGATCCAAGGTTTCCTGCTTCCACAGCAAGAGACTGCTAAAATGACTAACAGCACACTCAGTCAGCAGCCCCTGAGATTCTACAGATTTCTAGAAGAACTAGAGAAATTATACGTAAAATATATAGAAAAGTGAGTTTCACATAATAGGTGAGAAATTAATAATAATTATTGTTAATTGATAACTATCTCACTTTTGAAGGACATCTGTTGGTTTAGCCTCGTTAGAATTCCCTGACATTTATTTTGTTAACAACTCCTGTTCTAATTTTAGTGTATGTGCTGCCAAAGCGAGCACAACAACTCCTATTCTCATTCTCACTCTTAGTCTAGGTAGTTTGTTGTGTGCTCAATCCACAGCTCTAGGGTGGGCCCAAGACCCAGAGAAATTGACTTGGGTTAGATATATGACAGATATTGCTCTGGTAAGAATCGTGCCAGAGATTTAACTGGAACTAAGGGGAAAACGATGTTCTCCTTCCCTTAGGTTGCCAAGCCTGACTGACTGTATCCATTTGGATGAATTTGGCAATATAACAATCAAAAAACTCTGGTACACTTAGCTTATAAAATAAAGGGAAAAAAAATCTTACGTAATGTGAAATCCATAGGTAAAGAATTCTCCAGGGGCATATAAGCAGGATTTCTTTCAGCTTTTCTTCTCCCTTTGTTTCTTTTGATTTTCTTTATTTACTTAGCTTCTGGGCAATAAAATGACTACATCAGTCACATTGTCCTACAACATCACAGAGAGGCAAAAACCTTCTCTTTCTTGGGTCTACTTTAAAGACTTAAGAACATTCCCAGGGAGCTGCTCAACATGTCAAAATCACAACACAGGCTCATTCCTAAAACTGTCTTCTGCCAGGGGAAAGCGGGGCCACCAAGATTGGCTTAAATTAATCAGAAACTTCTCTTCCTTGTGAAGAAGTAGATGTCGGCAAAAAAAACAAAACCAAAAACAAAACAAAAACTGGGTTAGCAAGAAGAAACTATGTGGAACTATGTGCATAGCTTGGAATAGGCTATGATAGTGTTTGCTCACAAGCTGGGAAAAAAGCCAGCACAGCAGAAAACAAAGGCAAAGTTATGGAGGGCTGCGTGCATGCGATAGTATTAACAATTTACACGTGACATGAACCAACAAATTTCTTTCATGCTTAAGCCTCAGATGAGCCAGATTCGACCATCTGCACCAAAAGTTCACTTGCTAACACTCTCACTCAAAGCATTCCTCTGAATCCAACAGGTCTTTATTTTTATCCACATGAACTATAAAAATCCTTCAGAGTTTCCTATCTGTTCTACCAGCCATTCTTAAGCATTCTTTTTTTTCTCACCTCTTGACTTTTCTTATGTTGTTCTCTTAACTTGCTACTTTTCTGTGTTCCTGGCTACCTCTTAAAAATCTTAAGTATCCCTCATAACTGTATTTAAAATATCTTTTCCTAAAGCACTTCCAAAAAAATCTCAATGTAATATAGTTTCTCCTTCACTTGAACCCCAGAGCAGCTCTCTGACTAGTGTTTCAAATGTACATATGTAGTATACTAGTATACTAATGTAAGCATAGTACATATATAAAGCCTTGGAAATAAAAGATTTTAATTATTCTTATAATGCAGAAGATAGCAGAGAGGTTAAGTGACTTGCACAACATCTAGATTAGAATCTGGGTTTAACACCGAGATCCACACACTCCCTCCCTGCCCCTCCGGTGCACCTCACTCATTGCCTCACTATCATGTGATCTCCTGACTTGTGAACTGTGTCTTACTCAAGTTGAGTTTCCGATAGTAAATGGATTATGCTTTGTACATAATACATGTTGAATAAATGTATTTGGTTAATTGAACTCTTTGGTTTTATGTGTAGATCTAGACTTATCAGTGATTGCTGATTGGTATTTCTTGATGTAAGTGCAGGTAGGCCTGTAGTATCTATCTTTTTAAAAGGACATCCTAGGGGCGCCTGGGTGGCTCAGTGGGTTAAAGCCTTTCCTTCAGTTCAGGTCATGATCCCAGGGTCCTGGGATCGAGCCCCGCATTGGGCTCTCTGCTTAGCAGGGGGCCTGCTTCCCCCTCTCTCTGTCTCTGCCTGCCTCTCTGCCCACTTGTGGTCTCTGTCTGTCAAATAAATAAATAAAATCTCTTTAAAAGGACATCCTAGCTATCATATGCAAATTCCAGATAGTTATTGCCACCAATTTGCCCTGAGGAAGGCATTCTATGCAGCCTCTACAAAACAAGATAATTTGACAAAGAAAATGTTTCAGTATACAATTTTAATGAGTACTACATACAAAGAAAAGATTGCAGGAAATTAATATCAATTCCTAAAACCCAGAGGTTGAATACTATTTAAGAAAATAGTAACTTCATGCTGTGAAATTAGACAGGGAGAAATTATCATTAATAATATATTTATCTAGAAAATTAGTCAGATTTCCTATAACTATGCTGCCTGAAATCTGAAGAGAGAAGAGGTAGAAAGAATTGTCAGTTTATCCTAAAAAATAAAATAAAATAAAAATAAAGGCTGCAAAAAGACTAAATTTTAAACTTCATTTGAACTTTGTCAGATAATGCCAGTATTCATGACCTATTCTAGAAGGCCCTGCATATTAGAGGAAAGAGATACTTCTCTCTAGATATTCTGTCTGGGAAAAAAGGAACAGAAAAGAAAAAAAAATGGATACTTTCTTTAGGTCTTAAATTTATATGTTCATCATTAACATATCCCAGCTCATTGATTTGCTGATGAAAAATATCCATACTACACAATATAGTCAGAATCCATTTTCTTTAAATGAAATGTTTAAAATAACAACTCTATCATAATCTTTCATATTTTTCCCACTTTTTGAAAAGATCTAAAACCATAAACAAGCCAACCAACAATAACCCTTCAAAGTAGGTGAAAAGACCTTGCACGCCCTTTACAAATAACATTTTTAGTGATTAATAAATGAACAATGAGAAGGCAACAGCAGTCAAAGAGGAGATAAGACACCATCCCTTCATGACACATCATTCCAGGAATTTGTGCTGATTGCAACATAGAGGTCTGTCTACAGGCCTTAAAGTAGGGTGAGGCCTGTTCTGCTTTTCTTAAGTTCATCTTTGATCTTTGGTTATTGGTTCTAAAGTGAAGTCATATTTCTTGTTGTTATAATCTTTTTCTGGTCTCTACAAAGTGTAGAGCCTCTGTATCTGATAGTTGTTAGCTGTGGTAAATTAGTCAAAACTTAGCCATTAGCTCATGAGGATGTTTTGATTATATGCTGCGATTATATGCTAAAGATTAAATCACTCGTGGAAAATAGCAGATATTTAATTAAATGGATGTTTATAAGGATTAGATAGGTAGAGAGAGAGAGAGAGAGAGAATATCACAAGCTCTATCATCTTCCTCAATAACATTACATAATCTTTTTCTGCACCAATAATATTTCCTAATATTCATCTGTTATCTTGTGTCTGTTTCAAAAACGTAGAAGAAGACACCATTTACTAATCAAATTAAATTTCTTTTTTTTTTAAATCATCAGATGCCATTATTTATTTCAATCTCATTGACCTCCTCAGGTCTAGAAACACTTACTGTTCTTTGCATTAGCAGAGGAGAATCTGTTCCTTCCTCTTTAAAACTTGACTCCATACCGATTATATCCTCAATTACGTCTTCCATCTAGCAAAATATAATACATTTAGAATACTGTGCATAATGATAAAAGTTGTGCTTCAGCTTGAATTCAGAGAGAAAAAATTTAGCATTCTTTCAAAGTTTTAAAGAATATTTAAATTAAGTTTATATGTATATCAAAACCCAGAAAAGTTTAGAACTTAAAATGAAGAAATCCTGCCACTCTTTGATCTGTGTTGCTTTTCCACGCATTTGCTTCCGCCAGCTGGCAGGTGATGGCTGGGCAAATCACCCTGGGCCAGTCCCTTGGAAATCAGTATCTATATGAATAGAGTGGTTATCATGTGCCTCAAGCCAGAACCTGTGTACTTAACATGTAGAGGGATGACTTCCTACAAACTTTACTTTCCTTTTGAAATGTTTTGATTGCATCTTACAGGTGGATATTCAAATAGCAGTGGTCAAACCAGGCAATTGGTCCACATGGATACAAACTACACGGGAACATATTATCCAACTTTCCCTAATGGCTAATAATAATAATAGGAATATCAACAACAATAGTCACTGACCCATTAAACAGCAACAAAAGCAAACATACAGTGTTGGGGGATATGCCAGGCACTTTCTCTGTGCTTTGCATCCATCAGCTCATTTAATCTTCACAACAACTCTACGAAGTGATACTATCATTATCTCCATTATACAGAGGAAGAAACTGAGAGGAAAAAAAAAATGCTCAGTAGCTCATTCCAGTTTATGAAACTGTTGAGTGACAAAGGCAGGACTGAAATTCTGGAAATCTGGCCCTAAAGTCCTAACTTAAGTCAGCTTCTTACTCTCTTTCCCAATTCCTTTCTAAAATAGCCTTCCTTCTCTCCTGTACTTTAGCTGGAGAAGATTTCAAAAGCTTGTATTTAGTCACCATACAGTACGTCCTTAGTTTTTGGTGTAGTGTTCCAAGATTCATTGACATAACATTAAAAAAGAAAAAAGAAAAAAAAAAAAAAAAAAAAAAAAAAGAAAAAAACAAAACAAACAAAAACACACACAAACAAACACACACAAAAAGTTTTTTTTTTAAAAAAAAAAAAAAAAAAAGAGGGACGCTTGGGTGGGTCAGTCAGTTAAGCGTCTGCCTTAGGCTCAGGGTCATGATCCCAGAGTCTTGGGATCCAGTCCCACATCAGGCTCCCTCACCAGCGGGAAGCCTGCTTCTCCTTCTCACTCCTCTTGATTGTGGGTTTTTTTTGTTTGTTTTTTGTTTGTTTGTTTGTTTGTTTGTTTTTGCTGTGTCTCTCTCTCTGTCAAATAAATAAGTAAAATCTTAAAAAAAAAAGGTAATGAGAATGCTGAATTTATACAACTGTAGTGCTCTGAATTTCCTATAACATAGGCAGAAACAAGTAGGAGTAAACTCAGAGAGATGCGTGAGAATATTTTATGATTCTGTTAATGTTATCTTCTAAGCAAGATTTCTGAGAACCTTAGACAATCAAATATTCAGGTTTCTATTAAGATACTCCCAAAGTTGATATGCCAAAAAAAATTGGAACACTTCTCAATATTAATTTAACAAATATTTGTTGAGCAGTATTTATTGCAAGACCTTGTTGCAAGTACTAGAGCTATAAAAACAAACACCACAAAGCCTCTGCCCTCTTGGAACTCTAACGTTAATGAGGAAACAGAAACAGACAAGAAACAGCTTAATAACAGACGATGGTCTGAAGAAATTAAAGCAGGTAGGGAGAGAACTTGATGGGAATGAGTGTTATTTTAGAAAATGGTCAGAGAAGGACTTACTGGTATTTGAACAAAGACATGAGTAACATGGCAAAGAATAGTCCTTGGAAAGGAAGCAAAAATTACAAAGACCCTTAGGTAGGAAAATGGATATTGGAGAAAGAATGTCGGTCAGTGGGAAGGGAGCAAGAGAAAGGTTTGAGATGAAGTTGAAAACTATGCCCTCTATATTGTAAAAGCTTCTAGGTTGGTGGTGTCCAACAAAAATTTCTTTAAGCATAGGTATGTCATCCACACTGCCCAATATATTAGCAACTGATCACTTATAGCTACTGGGCACTTGAAAGTGTAGGTAGTTTAGCTGAGGAATTAAATCTTTTCTTTTGAAGTTTTTATTTAAATTCCTAGGCACTCAGGAATTAAGTTTTTGATATCATTGAATTTTTAAAGATTTTAG